GATAGAGCAATATCATAGAAATCCCATAGAGCAAACCAGTCTGGCTGAGGTAGCCTTTGGTCACGCATCTGAGTTACTGCCAGCTAGATCTCTAACCAGATCTTGAGCAGCTCACTCACAAGCATCATCCCAAGGCTGCTGGAGATTCCCTCTGGAGGCAGGCCGTTCCCCACTCATGAGCTATGGGGGAGAGAGCCAGTTTCAGATGGTAAAGCTCCTCTGAGTCCCCCGCATGGCTGCTGCCCCCTCCTCCTGGGCAGTCTTGACTTATATAGCCCCTGTGACCTCGTTCACCTGGTCCAATGGAGGCCAGCACCTGTTGGCTGTCGGCCAACCAATTTGAAATACATCACTAGTTGCTGGGCAGACTCTAGCACACCAGGTAGATGCCCCTCACCCAGGTAGCCGATACCAGTCACATAGGCAGAGGGAGCAGGTTTCCCCTCTCCCTCAGGACTGTATCCAGCTCAGGTTACCTAAAGAGATAGGGTAAAGGGGTGTCTCCTCTGCTGGGCCCATCCTAATCAAGTTGTCACCGAGCAGAGATTTTTGGGGAGAAACAACGGTGTCTTCCTGCCACACCCTCCAGCTGCACATATTGTTGGCCTCTCTAACAAATGATCTCATTCTTGCTACAGTCATCCTTCTTCAGTGCTTTTCCCTCTGGGTCTTGTTACACTCTTGCCTGTACTCACTGGCATCTGGTCTCAAACTAGAATATAAACTCTTTGGGGGAATGACCACCTGTGCATGTGCTGTGTACAGACCAGCAAGTCCTGCCTGGGGTCCCCATTTGCTACTGACATAAATCATCATATTACTGGGAAAGCGGGACTAGAAGGGACTTACTGGGTTGTTGAATGTAGTCCCCAGATGTTGCTGGTCCCCTGTCATACAGCACCTTTCATATTTATCAGGCTCTATCTTAGAAGTAAATATCTTGCCCTTAGTACTCTGATAGCTCTTAGTACTCCCATGTGCTGCTGGTTAGGAATTACCTAGTAGCATCTTCCTCCAGTGCTGCCTGGGCCCAAACCTTACCTTACCACCCTTGTGCTGCCCTTCTGCACCTTTAGCAGGAGATTACTGTGTCTGAGTGAATGGGGCCTGAACGCTGGGCACTGCTCCCTCTGCCCAGCAGGGAGGTTGCATTACATTATATGTGAGACGCTTGCACAGCACAGGTGCTGAGTCTGCTTTGGATGGGCTCTGGAATTCTGTCAATTTGCTGCATCTCCTGTTAGTCTGACCAGAGAACAGTCTCTGCCTGCCTGTGCTTCAAGCTTCATCTGTGTGCTGTGTATTGGCCCTAAACTGAGCCTGAGACGGGGCTTTTCACGAGTGATGAAACCACGAGTCCGTTGTCACTGGGTTCACGTGGGTGACGATGCCCCTGTTCTTCCCTCTTAGTACTGAACATTGCCAGTGACCTCCTGGGCCTAGATGCCTTCCAGCTATCTGAGGTGCTGACGCAGAGATCCATGATTCTCCGAGGAGAAGAGATCAGCTCTCCTCTCACTGTGGAGCAGGTGAGTGCCTGGTTCCCTGTGGGCAGTATGTGGATGTCTGATCCCAGCTCCCCAGGTTTGGCAAATGAGAATGCCCTTCTGACTCACTGTGGTGCCACTAACTGCCTTGTGCTCTTTGGGATTGTCTGTCCCACTGTGGCAGGCAGTGCTGGCACTGATGCACACAAATACCTACCTAGACCTGGCAGTGCACTGGTGAGGCTTCTCCCAGCTCATCCCCAGCAGCTGCTCTCAAGCTTGCCCGAGACCCAGAGCTTCAGTATGGCTTGTCTGGTGAGCCTGCAGGTTTGGACCATTTCTGTGGGTATGGGTAAACCAGATGTACTTGAAGTCATCAGTGCTGCTGCCAGGTGGAGACAAGCCTTTGCATGGTGTGCAGGTTCCTGCTCCCAGCTCTTGGTGTTCAAGGTGTCACTATCTGTTCCCTTCTTGCCATGAAGCAAGAACCTGCCCAGCTCCCTGTGGATAGTGTGGGTGCCTGCTCCCTCTCAGTGGACATCTGTGCGCTAGCTCTCTGGGCCTTGTAGTGTGTGCCCTAAACTGGCGCTGCTTTCTTACCCAAAGGTGGCAGCATTTGTGTATGTTCAGTGAGAGACTTGAGTGGCCCCAGGGAACTGAGAAGTGGCTGTTTGCTGGGACTCTGTGTTCTTGGTTTCTGGGTGTCTCTCGCTACAGAACAAAGAATTGAGGAGTTTAAGGGATTGTAGACAAGCAAAGTTTTAAGTAAAACTAAGTAGGGAAGAGGAAGGAGGGGACATATGCCCCTAAGTCGGCACTGCACAGACCTTGAGCACTGTCAGTATGGAGCTGGGCTTGGGCACAACATGGAGGGGCTGGCGCCATGAGTGGAATCTTGGAGGTTGCCTGCTTCTGGCTGGGTAAGGCAAGCATAACAGCTAGTGGGGAGAGAGATGCAGGCATTTGGGAACTCTGCACTTGGCTCTGGGTAGGCAGGCCAGGGATGTCTCTCTCCAGTTTCAACGTGGTCAGTGCAGTGCTGGGGCTGCCCCTCAGGACAGTGCAACAAAGGACTGGCCTGGGGTGGCCCCTTAGCCTTTGGCCCACCGTGGTCTTGGGCCCACCTCCCTCTGCTGTCCTGTCATGTCTTGATGTTAATATGCATTTAGAAATGGGAGGCACCCCAGAGATCCCTGAGCGAGATCTCATCTACTTGCTCATCGCCTTAGGGGCTAAATTCGTGGCCTCTTCATCTTCCTTTTAGCCACGCCCAAACCTCGCAGTGGTTACCAGTCAGTTCATGCCCTGCTCCTGGCTCAATCAGTTCAATGGGCTCTCTAGCCCTGCCTCTCTGGGTGCTGAGCTCTCTAGACCCATCTCTAGTCCTTCCTCTACCCTGCTTCCAGGCCTGTTATCCTTACTGCCCTGTTCCCTGGCTTGCTGAGACCTCCAGCCTCCCCCACGAGTCCCAATCCCAACCCACAGGTGTTTTCCAGGCAAGTCCACAGTATTCTACTTGCCTGCCTTGCTCCTGGGCTCAGGTGTATCCCTGGTGTGTCAGAAGCTCCTCTGCAGCCCTCTTGCTCAGGAGCTCTTCCTTGCATAGCCTCCAGGATCAGACTGCCTGCACCAGCTCAGGCCCTGGGCTTATGTAGTCTCTAACCCTGACCCCCTTCCGGTCAGGTGTCTTCCCTTGAGTGCCACCTGAGCCCTGTCTGCAGCCTTTCTCCTCTTAAACTAAAGGAGCACTAAGTTCCCTGTTGCACAGTCCCCTGCAAATCGGAATAAGCAGGTGTAACTCTTCATGAACTGGGTCGGTAATAGAAGTGTCATCTCAGAATCACAGGCCTCTACTCAAGCTGTGATGCTGTCTGTATCTCTGAAAGTTTAGCTGTGGCCCAAAATATTGCAGGGTGCATTAATGTTAACAGGTCACAGTATTTCTGGCCACCTGCAGTACAGTGGCTTGTCCCAGATGCACGAGTGCCTTTTTAACATTTTTTTTGAGGATAAACATCTACACAATAGACAGTGTTACTGGCCAGTAATGCAGAGCAGTATTACCAATGAAGGAGAAGCACATTACAACAAAGTCAACACCTGCAATAGAAATGTTGGGGTGGAAAAAAACAGGTCTTTGGCAGGTCATCTAGTCCAACCTCATGCTTGAGGCAGGAACACCCTAGACAGGGGCTTTTCTTATCTGCACTTAACCTTAATAATGGAGATTCCAGTGTCTCTAGTAGTCTCTGCAAGAGCTGAACTGCCCTTCTAAGTAAGAAAGCTCCTCCTAATGCCTAGCCAAAATCTCCCCTGTTGCAATTTAAGCCCATTACTGCTTGTTCCGTCCCCTGTGGACACAGAGAACAATTGATCACCCTCCTTATTCTAACAGCCCTTGCTGTTTTAGCAGACTATTATCAGATCCTCCGAGAAGCAAGATTTGCTTGGTAATATCTTTTATTGGATCAACTCTGTAGTGGGGAGAGATGTTAGACAAGCTTTCAGGCACAGAATGCCTTTCCTTAGGTCTAGGAAAGAAGCAGATATGGCCCAAGCTAAACACCAGGTGAAAAAGTTACTTTTGTTTAACTGCTATTTGTAAATGAAAACTGCTGCTTAGAAAGGGGAAAGAGGGCAGTAAATGCAATAGGAAAGAAGGCAATGGCTACAGCAACGTTATGAGACTGCTATCAAATCCCCCCTCCATCCTCTCTTCTGTGAACTCCTGGTAGTCATCCCCATTCTTCCCACCTTTCCTCAGGTGTAGTGTTTTCCAGACCTCTCCATGTCTGTTACTCCATCTGGCTAGGTGTTCTCTGCACATTTTCAAAGGCTTTGCTCATTTCCATCCTCCAGGTGAGGGCCATGAATGGTGTGTGCCCCCAGCAGCTGGAGGGGCACAGCGGCAGTAGGCGGGGTAGCTCCTGCAGACGCTGTCAGCGATGGGGGGGAAGGAGAGGGTGGCGAGTGCCTACCATGGGTTGGCGACCCTCTGCAGACGCTGCCAGCAGTGGTGGCAGCGGCCAGCAGGGATTGCAGACCACCCACAGACACTGGTGGTGGCGAGCGGTGACTGCTCTCAGGCACCACCTTTTTGTAGGGGGTGCACCGCCATGCTCAGTGGGTGCACATGCCCCTGTGTACATCCCCTACATATTGCCCCTGGTGAGGGCTGCCCAGCTTGTGTGGCCATGGGCTGCATGCTGCATGCATGTAATTCTCTGCATCTTCCTTTTTCCTTTTGTTAAGGGTAGGTCTTATGTTTACCCTTTCCCTGGCTTCAAGGACCTTAATAACCTCCATGAGTTTTCCAAAATAATAGCCAATGGCTGTGCAATTACCTCAGCCAGTTCCTTGAGTACTTTCAGGAGAATCTTACCTTGCAGACCTGAAAACCTCCAGCTTATCTAAGTAATCTCTAACCTGTTCTTCTTCTACTCTAGACTGTGTATCTACCCTCCCATCTTTGCTGTTAGCTGTACTTGTCATCTGACAACAGCTCTTTTTGTGAAAACTGAAGTACAAGAGGCACTAAACACTTCAGTTTTCACTACTTTGTACATTATCACCTTTCCCTCCCCCATCAGTAGTGGACTTTCACTTTACTTGATCTTCTTATCGTACATAATATATTTTTAGCTGCCTTCTGTGTTCCTTGCTATCCATATCTTAGTTTGTCTTGGTCGTCCTGATTTTGTTTATCACCTGTTCAGCCTATACTGTTAGTCTAGAAACAGAAATTGCATTTGTCCTGGGACAAGTTGTGCCTGTGTTTGTCCCAGAACAGAACAGTCCGGGATTGGTGCATACACGCATCATCTTTCCAATCAGAGTTTAGCAAGCAGCTGAATGCACTGCTGCTTTTCTGCCATTGATTCAATGATGCAATCCCAGGACAACTGTTCAGATGCCCTTTTCAGTGCCCCAGGACAAAACATAAGCACTTTTTATACTTTGAACCATTTTAGGGTTTGTTCCTGGACAAGGACATGGGTATCTGGACAACTGCACTTTGGCCCAGAATAAAGTGGTTTCTCCCAGGACGGATGGGATGTCTGTTTGTAGCCTTACAGAGAGGAGTAGGTAGCTGCGATGATCCGAAGTCAGGGAGAAGGCAGGGTAGAGATGCACCATATAGACTAACTAAATCAGAGATGCTTAAACTTTTATGAGCCTGAACTCACTTCATCAGAGGCTGTAACATTTTGTTTGTTCTTATTAATATGCCCAACTTTCCACTTTTTGTAAAATTCCCTTTTTCATTGTACATTCAAAAGCTTATTGTTTAGCCAACCAGGTCTTTTACCTTCTCTGTCTTTCCTTTACTTTGAGATATGTATTGGAAAACTGTTATGTTTGCCTTCAGTCTTCTCTTTTCTACATTAAAACCAATTCTTCATAGTTTCATAGTTCTTCAGCCGTTCCTTAAAGGTTATGCTTTTAAATCTCTTATTCGTCCTGCTGTCCTGGACTCTCCAAATTGTTCATACCTTTCTTAAAATATGCTGAGGAAAACTAGACATAGTGCTCTGCTCCACATGACACCTCATCAGTTGTGAGTAGAGTGGAATAGTTTCCTCCCTTGTCTTACATACTACACTCCTGTTAATGCATTCCAGAACGAGACTTGCCTTTGTCTGAAACATTAAGTTGCTCACTTACATTCAGTTTGTGGTCTGCTGTAACCTCAGAACTTTCCTGACATTGTTACTTAGCCGGCTGTTCCCCACTTCATATTTGTGCATTTGGTTTCTTCTTCCTAAATGGAGCACTGTGCACTTGTCTTTACTAAATTTCATCTGGTTGATTTGGACTGTTTCTTCAATTTATCAGGTAATTTTGAATTCTAATGCTGTCCTCCAAAGTGTCTGCAACCTTTCCAGCTTGGTGTCATCTGCAGATTTTATAACTGTAGCCTCTGTTGTAGCATCCAGATGTTAACGAAAGTATTGGCTAGAAGCAGGCCCTAGACAGACTCTGCAGAACCCCTCTTGAAACACTCTTCCAGTTTAAGAGCAAACCATTACCAATTTCTCTGACTGCAGGTTTTCAGTCCAGTTGTATGTCTGTCCTTTTGGTGATTTCATTTAGATCATGTTTCCCTAATTTGCTTATGAAAGTATCATGTGGGACAGTGTCAGACTTCACTGAAGTCAATATACATCACAAATACTATTTTTTCCTTATTCGCAAGGCAGGTACCTTGTCAAAGGAGATTAGAATAATTTGACACAAGTTTGTTTGTTTGGGGTTTTTTGACAAATGCATGGTGGCTCTTTCTTATTACCCTATTCTCTAGGTGCTCACCAATTGAATGTTTAATCATTTGTTAGGCTGACAGGTTTGTAGCTCCCTGGGTCCTCCTTTACAAAGAGGAAAAAGACAGATATTTTATTTTTCCTTCAGTCCTCTGGTCTTGCTGCCATTCTCCAGGAGTTCCCAAACATAAGCGCTGATCGCAGAAATATAGGGTTGGAAGAGATCCACTAAGTCACGTAAACTGATTCCCACTGGTTCAAAAATTACTTTTGCTGGTTTGTAAGTGCTCTCAATGAATTTCATCAGGCCCTGCCAACTTGAGTACACCAAATTTATTTCCATATTCTTTAACCTTTCTTTTCCTGTCCTGTCCCATGTCCTGTCCTTTTGTTAAAATTAATTCCATTGGAAGTATGAGCAGAGAGAGGGAGTTAGTTACTGAACATATAATCACATTTAACCTTTTTGTGAAAAAAAAACTATTGAATATTGAGCCTTCTCCATGTTATCTTTTATTTGCTGTCCTTTCCTGCTAATGTGTCTGTATTTTCCTTTCTCTCCATTTTATTTCTAACGTATTTCTGAACTGGCTGTTGTCTTTTATGTCACTTGCTAGTTGTACCTCATGTTGCACCTCCGCCTTTCTGGTTTGCTCCCTGCCTGCTTGTGCTGCTGCTCCCTGCCCGTCGTTAGCCGTGTGTCTACTTTCTGTACAATTCTTTTTGGTTTTCAGGCTATGGAAGAGCTTTCTTGAAGCTGAAGTCGTGTTTGTCTCCCTCTCTGCTCCCTGTCTTTTCCCTGCCTCAGAAGAGCTTACTGTTGTCCCTGTGCTGGGCTCGCTGTCAGCAGCTGCCTACCCTCCCACTCCTCCTCCCATCAGGCTTCTCTCCAGGAGACCCTGCCTACAAACTCCCCAAGCCTCTGAAGCTGCTGTTTGAAGTCCTATCATTCCTGTGCTGCTGCTCTCGCTGCTTCCTTTCCTTACTATAGTAGGGTCTTTTGTTCTGTGTTCACAGTCACCCAAGTTACCTCCCACCAGCAGATGCCCAACCCATCCTACCTCTTAGTCAGAATCAAGGCTGAAATAGCTGCCTCCAACCACCTCCTCCGCTGTCTGGAAAGAAAGTTGTTCTTGATGCTTTCCAAGCACTTGATGCCGATGTCCTGGTGAACTGTTTTTTCTAGAGGTATTTGGGTAAGGCCCCATTTATCTGCAGCCAGAGATGTTCAGCAAACTTGCCTCTCACCTCTCCCTGGATTTCAGAGCAAGTAAAGACATTCTTGACACAAAATGCTACAGCTCTTTCTTTTTTTCTCAGCCTGCCCTTCCTGAGCAAGCTGTAGCCTTCCCTCCCCTCCCCATGCCCTATGGGAGGATGACTGAATGGCTGAGGGCACCCGTGACACTTCAGCAGTGTGCAGACTTGCGAACTGGGGCACAGGCGTTGACTACTGGTACAGAGCTTTCCCTCGGCAAAAGCTGCTGTCTTTCTTCCCGCTGGTGTCTGATGCCTCCCTGACCATGGAGCAGTGACTGGCCAAGCAGACAGAAAACTGCTGTATTTTCTCTCATCACCACGGTGGCCACAACATGTCTTTAGAGCCCCCTGCACTGACATAGGCATAAACTGCAGAGGTCTTTTCCTTCTCTGGCTTCCCAGAACCATGTTCAGCTGTTCCCTGCTGTCCTTGGCACAGGGATAAGGGGCTGCCCAGAGGTCCTCATTGTGCAACAGGCTCATTGCCATCCCGAGCCATGACATTTTGCAGTGCTGAATGGAGGGAGCTGGGCAGTGGCAGGCAGGGTAGGGAGGATGAAAAGAGCCATTGAGAGTCCGTATGGACCCATGCTGTGGGAGATGCAGTGTGTGCGGTTACTGCCAGGCAGGGAGGGCCCATTCCTGGAAGATGAGGCAGGGACGTTGTGTAACTGTTCAGTCAGGAGAGCTGTCTCTCTCTCTCATGCTTGCCCATGAGTCACTGCCAGGGATTGTTTAGAGGGGGCGTCTGCCTTCACTGAGATGGATCCTCTGTGTAGAGGGGAGGGCTCACAGAGTTACTGTGCCCTTGTATTACTGCTGAATCTCAAGGTGGGCCAGCCTGGGTCCTAGGAGGGGTCTGAAGCTGGTAGAGACCAAGAGAGGGTGTGTAAGGCAGTCTCCCCTCACCTGAGCCAGCTGCCTCACAGGTGCCAGACTCCACAGAATGCATAGAGGAGGGTGTTTACATGGCTTCAATGGCAGTTCTGAAAAAGTTAGAAATGTTGGCACCTTAGGAGGGGAAGGAATGGATGGTGGTGGATAAAGCCCAGTACAGGACAGCAAAAGAGGCAGGAGAGTGGCTTGGTAAATGGGTTCCCTTAGCTGGGAGGAAGGTCATGCTGTGTGGTGAGAGCTGGATACAGATGATGCCACCTAAAGGTGTTTTAGTAATTGTTAAGATCTAGGATGGGGATGTGAAGTTGTTCTGATGGATGCGTAAAAGGAGCCTGGGACCCTGAATACCTTGTACCAAGTTGTGGGCAGTTTCACGCCAGTGGCATGTATGCCAGTAACCCGGGTAGCATCTTGTATCATCTGAGCATGGATGCTAATGTGTAGGCTTGTTTGTAAACAATAGGCTGGGCTAAGCTTTTGTTACTAAGAGCCAAAGCCTGCGGTCCTTTCATTATACCTGTGAGGTCATTAGGGTGGCATCCTGATAGCACTCACTGACCATCCAAACAAAGGGAGCCTGACATATGTTCGGTAATACCCAGCTCCTGATAACACTTGACAGAGTCCAACCACAGTCACTCCAGAGGAGGCCTTGGGTTAGGCGTCAGCGCTCAGCTGCCAGCTGCCTCCTCTCTTGCTCAAAGCCCCTGATGCAGGAGTCTCACCAAGTGACTGTCAAAGCCACTGTGAGCAATGGAGTCTTTCCCTGGCTTGATTACCCTTGGCAGCCACCCCCAGCTGCCAGTCATTGTCCATTCACTTATGCCTCTCGAGGTCACTCCTGGAGGGTTGTGCTGGGCATTCTGCTGAAGCCTGAGCATCCCTAGGCATTATGATGTATGCCCCACAGGGGTCAGCCATACATTCAGTGCACTGTGCCTAGCTGCCAAGTGCAAGGACCCTGTAGGATGGCGAGGGCACCCCTGGTACCAGAGAGACGCTCCAGCTGGGGGCAGTGGCAACCTCTTTGTGCCCCTTCAGCCCTTGTATGTGACTAAGCTCCCCCTTCCTTTCCTCCCTCTGTGCTTGCAGGCAGCTGACTCCAGGGATTCTCTCTCTATGGCACTGTATTCCCAGTGCTTTTCATGGCTCATTGGCAAGATTAATACAAAGATCAAAGGCAAGGAAAACTTCAAGTCTGTGGGCATCCTGGACATCTTTGGCTTTGAGAACTTCCAGGTCAGTATTTTACCTTTCTTGGAGTACATTTTTTAACATGAAGATTTACTGGACATTGGAAGGAAATTGCTAGGCTTATTCCCACTATGGGGTAATATAGTGCAGGCTAAGAAACTTTCTTCCAACACAGATCCCCTGGGGGTAGGGATGAGGGGGTGGACTACCCTTCGGCCGCATGTGGCCTCCTGTGTGCTAGCATGCTAGGTGATTCTCTTCTATTTGTGACGTTAGCCCTTTGCACATGGGTTGTAGTGACATGTGCGGGCAGTACACGCAGGCTCCTCATGCACGCTGTACCTTGCTGTGTCTTGTGGGGTATCCACTGCCTAGCACTCCAGGCAGTAACAGACTACAGGTGCATGCTGAGGAGCTGTTCTGTGGCAGTCAGTGATCCACAGGAAAGAGGACCCAGTGACATCACATGTTTCCACACATCTCCACTTTCCCCAGGGACTAGGACCTGTCTAAATTCTGTCCTCAGAACCTAGGCAGGCTCTGCTCATCTTTCCATGTGCATTTTCCCTTCCACATGGCCTTTGTAGGAAGATCTAAACCTGTTCAGCCTTCACAAGAGAAGGCTGAGGGGGGACCTGGTGACCGTCTATAAACTCACTGGGGGGGACCAGAAGGGTTTGGGAGAGACACTGTTTCCCCTAGCGCCGCCCCCCCCCCCCCGCATAACAAGGAATAATGGCCAGAAGTTGTTGGAGAGGGGGTTTAGATTAGACATCCGCAAGAACTGCTTCACAGTCAGGGCGGCTAGGAGCTGGAACCAACTTCCAAGGGAAGTGGTGCTGGCTTCTACCCTGGGGGTCTTTAAGAAGAGGCTTGATACCTACCTGGCTGGACTCATTTGAGTCCAGTTTTTCTCCCGCCCAGGCAGGGGGTCGGACTTGAAGATCTACAAGGTCCCTTCCGACCCTACTTCTATGATTCTGTGATCTTTGATAGACTGGGAAGGGGAGGGCAAGTGTTACCAGACTTATTTCTGCTCTCCTGCAGGTGAATCGGTTTGAGCAGTTTAACATTAACTATGCAAATGAGAAGCTCCAGGAGTACTTCAACAAGCACATCTTCTCCCTGGAGCAGCTGGAGTACAACAGGTGAGGGGAGGGACTGGGTTTCCTGGTGGAAAATTGAGGACACCTTCCTTCCTCCCTTGTGCTGCCCACCAGCAGGGAGGTTCTCCTAGCTGGGATGGGAGGGCAGGTGGCTCCTCATTGCGCCTTAGCCGTGACTGCTTTGTTGTGGCCTGCACTGCTTGTCCCAGCTGGTCTCCTGTTTTGCAGCAAAAAATGTCTCCCATCTGTAAGTTAAGCCTGAGGCTGCAATCTCAAAATGAAATCAGCTGAAATAGGAAATTTTGCCTCATTTCAAGACTAAGGGATAAATCTCTCCTGCCACCTGATGCTTGACCTGAGCTCCTCTGAAATTTGGCCAGGCCTTTCTGAACTTTGGCCAAGTCTTTCTGTTGTGACCTCTGGCAAACCCAGCCCAGGCTTTGGATCTATTAAGTCTTGTCTGGTTACAGCTGTCACTGTGAATGCCTTGTGCCACCTTGTCCACCCCATCTTTCTTCTTTTATTCTTTTTTGCCTCAAACTGTTATGCACAGAGTCGGACCCAGCTCCCAGCACTCTTGTGTGATGATGGCCTGTGCAGGATCTAGGGCCTTGTTTCTAGATCCACTATAACAACAAAGAAGAAACTAAAATCTGAAAACTCCAAATCCTCTCCTATTCCTCCACCTGTGAGAAGAATACCAGGGTTGAGCTTCTATTCGCACAACAGGCTGAAATGGTGTTGCAGTGTGATCACTAGACTCTGCTGCAGTCGTAGCTTTGATGAGGCCTCGACCTGACAAGACGAAGTTCCCAAGTCAGTCTCGGTTTCTGACTTTCCCTTCTCTGGAGACTTCTCCTCCGTGGAAGTGGTTAAGCTTTTGTCACCGAGTCTGAAAGGTCCAGCAGCAAGAGCTAGGCTAGGTTATTGCTTGTTTATGGTTAGGAGTGTTGGGCACTCCACGGCAGTGTCTGCCTTCAGGGGTTTGCATTGCTGCCCCTCACTGCTGTGCCTGAGCCTGTCCAGCCTTGAGCTGCAGGGAGGGCTGCTGGGGAAATACTTCTGCTATAGCTCCAAGAGAGGGAGGGAGGCAGGCATTTATTTTCCTGAATGAGGCAATTGAGTGGGATTTTACTGAGGCTGAATCGTAGGCAGCTGAATAGACAATTCATGAAGTTCTGAAGATTGCCAAAATACAAGGCTATTTATACACCCATCCCAAGGACAATTCAGTGCAGGAAACTCATCTTAAGAACACTCTCATCTCTACAAAAAGGGATTTCTTCCTAAATATCAGATGGTAGGAGCAGTTTCTGGGACTGAATTGTAGAAATGACCAGATAACCAGAAATGTCATTAATCATGCAAGTATATTAGGATAGTGTGATCATATCTCAAGCTGCAGGGTGTTGGTAGAGCTCCCTTGGGGCCAGGACGTAGCTCCCTTTGTATTGCACTGCTCAACAGGCCGAGTGTAGTGTGGTAATAGGGGCAGTGTATGGTGGTAGCAATCAGTGGTTTGACCTGGTCCAGCACATTCAACATGTTCTTAAGGTCAGGAGTTGAAGGCATTCTGAGAAGAAATTCCAGGGCCCCAAGTGGCATCCTTTCAAAAGTGCTTGGCCGCTGCTGGGGCTATTGTTACTTAAGGCAAAGATTTGAAAAATTATGAGCTAATTGAATTAACTCTTTTCTTATCCAGTGAATACAATTCCCTTTTCTCCTTTCTTTGTGATAGGCAGTCCTGTGGATTCTTGGGAATTTTCTATATTTGTTGCTTCCAACTGTTGTCTGGAGGCATATGGGAGATGGCTTTGAACCTGGGAATCTAACATTTAGGTCAAACAGCTTGTAGCAACAGCTATCTTCTCTTCAAAACTTTCATACTTACTAAAAGAATCTCTGTTGGAGCCCCAGCCATCGGCTTCAGGGGTGTACTGAATTCTTTCTGTTGACCTTTGGGGAGCTAGCAGCCTATTTCCCTCTCCGAGTTCTTTTCTCTCCTATGTTCCCATGTCTTTTGCAGAGGAACATAAGTAGACAGGCACCAGTGAAAACTTCTGTCTCAACACTGTTCTCAAAACTTCGTGGAACAATTTCGCCAATAATGGAACAGCATCGCTGGTCCCATCAGTCTGCTCCTATCGAGATGACAAATTCCTTCAGCTCCACTGTGCAGCTGGGTAAAGTTTGTATGTGACATGAAGAAAGTCTTCCTAAATAACTGGCTTCTGTCCAGGGGCAGTGCCCAAGCTGCAGTTTGCCAGTGGAGCAGTGATGCTTTGGACCTACTTTTTGCCTGGATGGGAGGCAACTAGAACTCAAACCTGTATCGTGAACTGATGATTTCACTCTGCCCTTTCAGTTGTAGCTCATATTTCCTGTGAGGTCAAGGGAGAGCTTTCTCTTACCTGGCAAGGGTGGCACGCCATGACATCCACCAGAGACTTTGCTGTGGTCAGTTTCTGCTTGGCATGAAAGGTGCACAGAAGCTGCAGTGAGAGGTGCTATAGGAAGCCCTGAGATGGTTGGAGGGAAGCAGTATCCTCTCTGCTAGCAACCCCTCATACATTCTGCTCTTTCCCCAGGGATGTGGAAGTGGTGTCACTTACGCCCAAATGCCCTGGGGTGCCTTGGGGTGCTGCCCACTTCTGCCTCTTTCTCCTGCATCCCAACCTTGACAGTGGTATCTTCCTCCTTTCAGTGGTTGTTTTTTCTTCTTGTTTGGCAGGGAGGGGATAAGCTGGGAAGCCATTGACTGGATGGATAATGCAGAGTGCTTGGATCTCATTGAGAAGGTGGGTAGTTCTTTTGAATTTTTCAGGTCCCAGAAGCCCTGATAAGTGAGACTGAATTAGCGAATGCAGCTTTTCTCCTTCCCCCACACAGACATTTTTTCTTGTATTTGACCAGTGCCTGGCCCAGGTTGCTGATTTGGTTCCTAAGGTCTGCTCAGGGGCAGGCTTTCAGTGGCTGTCTGGTTTTCTGTGAGTGTAGCATGGACAGGTCAAAAATATGTCCCTGTCCAAAAATATGTCCGCCTCCCCTGCCACCTGCCGTGTCCCAGAGAGCTCCTGGTTAAAAACGCAAATCCTATGCTCATTGTTTTGGTTAGACTTAGGTAAGACTGCAGTCCCCTTAGGGCCTGGTAAACCTTTACTTTTTGGATTTGGACTGTACAGAGGGGTTTCATCTGCACAGATCCTACCTGCTGAGTCTGCATTGGCTGCAAGTTCCTCTCTGGCTTGATTGTTTTTGCAGCCATGTTGGTCTAAGGACATAGGCAGACAAGGTTCTTTGTGTAGATGTGATATCTTTTATTAGACCTACTAAAAAAGTCTTTGCAAGCTTTTGGGCACAAACACCATTTCTCAGGCATAGGGAGACTCCGTTGATGTTGTGTTCTCCTGGGTAGAGCTATGTAAGGTGCGGTTTGCAAATCATCACTCAATACCACAACCATAGAGTCATAGGGAAGTGGGGCTGGAAGGGAGCTCCAAAGGTCACTCCCTGCCTGAGGCAGGATCATCCCTATCCAGACCATCCTAGACAAACCATCATCTAAACTCTACATATGACTACCCTCACCCTAGACCCTGCGACAACATAGATCTGTTGCCCTAACCGGCCACAGGTAAAACAGGGGAGCCACCACAGCCAATATCCTGCTTCTTTAAAATGTTATCAATAGATGCTCAAGAAGTCCCAAGCCTTGATTTCCCTGTTCTGAGTCCTATTTTTCTGCTATGTTCGCTGGCTTAAAAGCCTGTCTCTTGTTTGGCTGTAGAAACTGGGACTGTTGGCTTTGGTGAATGAGGAGAGTCGATTCCCCAAGGGTACAGACAGCACCCTCCTGGAAAAACTTCACAGCCAGCATGCAGTAAGTCAGTAAGCCTCTTCTGGGCACACTACTCTGTCTTCTGTTTCTGTCTGTGCCTTCTTCCCGCTCTTCTGTATTGATAGTACAATCACAAGCTGTAAATTACAAGTGATTCTCTGCTTGTGCTTCTGTCATTAAAATCTGAGAGCTGTGGGGTAGATGGGTTCCCCATCCATCCCAGATTTGGAGTCAAACAACTTCCACAGCAGCCCAGGCAAAGCTGTTCTGTTCATTGTGACTGCAGGTTATCAGAAGCCTTTTCCTTCTTTTCAGAGTAACCATTATTACATGAAGCCTCGGGTGACAGATCACCAATTTGGAATAAAACACTATGCTGGGGAGGTAAGTGTGCGTGGTGTATCCATGAGCAGTCTCCAGGAGGGAGGAGTAGGTAGGTAGAACTGTCTACATCACTGTCAGGTACCCCTGAATCCTGAGCTAAGCAAACTGCTGGGCCTGGCACCTCCAGATTTCGGCATGGCCTGGAGGAATGAGTGTGCCGATGGGCTGAGGCCTCAGTGGCTGCTATGTAACACAAGCAGTTGTTTATTCAGAGTCATGATCCATCTACCTATGGCCTTTGTGTGCCTGTTCCTTTACACTGTTCTTTCATTCATAGATTGTTAGGGGCTGGAAGGGACCTTCCAGATCATTGGATCCAACCCCCCAGCTCTAGGCAGGAAGACAATTAGGGTTAAGTGACCCCAGTGTGGTGACTGTCCAGTCTTCTCTTGAAAACCTCCAGGGTAGGTGACTGCACCACCTCTGGAGGGAGTTTATTCCACAGTCTGGACACCCTGACTGCGGATGAGCTTCTCCTGGTATTAAGCCTGAAGTGGCCTTCCCAGAGTTTGTACCCATTACTCCTGGTCTTTCCCAGGGGTGCCCTAGTGAACAGTTGTTCACTGAGCTCTTGATGCACTCTTCTGATGTAGTGGTAAGCCGCTATGAAGTCCCCTCTCAACCTTCTCTTCTTTAGGCTGAAGAGGCCCAGGTCCCTCAGGCTCTCCTCATATGGCTGCTTTGCAGGTCCCTGATCATGCGGGCAGCTCTTCTCTGAACCCTCTCAAGTTTTTCTACATCCTTATTGAAGTGTGGCACCCTGAACTGGATGCAGTACTCTAACTGCGGTCTCACCAGTGCTTAGTACGGCAGGAGTATCGTATCCTTAGTTTTACAAGGGATGCATCGGCTGGTGCATGCCAGTGTGTTATTTGCCCTGCTGGCCACTGCCTTGCACTGATGGCTCATATTCATGTGATGGTCAATCATTACCCCTAAGTACCTTTCGGCCGTGGTGCAAGTCAAGCTGTTACCTCCAAGCCTGTATGTATGTTGAGGGTTGTTTGCCCCCAGATGGAGCACCTTACACTTGGAAGTGTTCAACTTAATCTGGTTTCGGTCTGCCCAACTCTCAAGCCTGTCCAAGTCTGCTTGTATATGAAACCTATCTTCTGACGAGACCACACTGCCCCATAATTTGGTGTTGTCCGCGAACTTGGCCAGTGAGCTTTTCACTCCCCCATCCAAATCACTGATCAATAAAATAGAAGAATGATCATGATCTACCTCCATCCTGGGGGACTGAGAGAGTTAGTTAATGAGTTAGTGCCTAGGAAGTGTGTACGGAGAGTGCGCAGAGCCCTGCTGCTGGTTCTAAGCGTTGTCTGCAGTCCCAGGGTTTCCTCCCACGACTCTTCACTTCCTCTTTGATGTTCTTGATTGTGGGAAGATGTGACAAATAGGCTGTTGTGTTGCATCCCTTCATGGATCTGAGCTCTCTGACACAAGCAGTTGTGCTGGGCTGAGGGCTCCCCAGTGCTGAGAGCAGAGTGGGCACTGATGTCCCCATGCTGGGAAGACATGAGGGAAAGTCTCTTTTGTTGTGTGGAATAAGAAGGGCAGAGAGAACTTGGTTGCCTGGAGGGTGGGGATGTAGAGAGGTAGCGAGTGCTCTGTGCCTGGGTTCAGAGTTGTGGCTAGTCAGGAGCATTGACTTGGAAGCTGTTTAGATTAGCTTCTGGCCAAAGTCACTTAACAAGGCAGCTGAGGCCCTCAGACTCACCAAGAAGACTCAGCAGCTTTGACCTAACTGAACTCTAGTTGCTGGCCATGCACAGAGCTAGTCCTAGGTACGCAGGTACACTAGTGATCTAGCTGCTCTCTCTGCCCCCACCCTGTGGTCCTGAGCCCCCACTTCTGCACCCAGCAGTTCCCATTCTCTTTCACAGTGGCAACATGGCTGCACCCTCCCTGCCTTCTCCATGTGGGCCACATTCCTGCCTACTTGCCAGGCATGAGTGTGTCCTGCCTTGCAGACCTCGCTTTCACAGCATCTCACCAGGCCACTTGAGTAATTGCGAGGCAGAGCAGAGTCGAAGCTGTACGACTCAGGCATGTCCTGGTTTCTGAGTGCCTTACAACCTCTGCTTTCCTGCCTATTTTTCTTTCAATTCCTCAAGAAGTAAAGATGGAAAGCAAACTTCCCCTTCTCCTCAGAGCTTCTTGGAGTCTACGTGGATGGTGCTGCATGTGCACCTGCCCCTTGCACACAGGAGCTTGGTGTGTGTAGAGCAGTGTCATTAGAGTCACTCCTGAGCTCTGCACCACCTCCCACTCCTGCCCTAGGCCCTGAGGACAGAGCTGCTGTGACTCGAGCTGCATCTTGTGATTCATTTTGTGGGTCAGAACCCAGACTGTGTCCGACTGTCCCAGTGTGTGTTTGAGCACAGGAGCTACTTTTAAAGAAGCTCTTCACTCCTTTTATGATTGATTTCTGTTTTCTTTTATTTGGAATGTGTTTCTAATGTTGTGGGGGTGGGGGCTTCCCCTGTACAGCTCCTCTTGTGCTTTGGGAAAGTCCACAGGTATGACAAACACTTCCTCCGCTGCCCCCTCTTTGCCTGTCCCTGTCAGCAGAGGATGTGATGGTAGACTTCAACTGCTCACTTTGGAGCAGTCCCAGAGAGAGTTTCTGACCTTGCAAGGGACCCTGCTGAGGTCAGACCTGAGATGACCTGGGTGAGAGAACAGAGCAGTGTTTTTCTGCCCCCAGTATGTTGCTGTTTATTGCTTCCAGGATTAATGCCCTTGCCCTTGATGGTGCCTTTCGCTGTTTTCTGGGCCTAATGCCGTGTAGGCACAACAGTGTGTTGGAGCATTTTGAGGGTTCTGGGCATCAGTCCGAGGGGGCGTGCAGTGTGCATGGTTCACACTGTGTGCTGTTCCCCTCTGGGAGAGGCATTACCTTCCCTGTGAGGTGGTGTCCGTGTGTGTGTGGCAGGGGTGGGCAATTATTTGGGCTGGTGGGCCACTTAGGGAGTTTTGGCAAGTTGTTAGAGGCTGGGTCAGTACCCCTCGCCCCCGGCCCAGAACAGCTCACTAAAATTCCGTAGTGGTTCTGCCCCTCACCCTGGCCCCGGCCCCAGCCCCATGCTGTCACTGCCTAGTGATTCTGGCCGTGCCATCCCACCCCACTCCCAGACACCATTCCCTGCCTGCTTGCAGCCCCACCTCATCCACCCAGCCAAGTGTGCCCTGCCTGTGCAGGTCCTGGGTCCATGGAGACCCTGTCCACCTGCTCTGTCCAGCGACCCCAGCAGTGGATGTGGGACAGATGAGCCAGGGTGCCTGGGCAGTGGGGCTGGAGCTGGGGCTGGAAGGAGCCACTATGCCAGGGCTGCTGGGAAGTGGAGTCTGGCCGCTGCACCACCCCAGCCCTGCCTGTGTTGAGGCTGTACACACCACAGCTTGGGCTGCCCCCTGCACCTGGGAGAGACGGGGCTAAGGGACCCACTGTAGGCTGGATAAAATCCCTCGATGGGCTGGATCCAGCCCATGGGCTGTATTTTGCCTATCCGTGGTGTTTGGAAAGGGATTTGTTGCCCTGTGTATGAGAGACAGGTAAGGGCTCAGTCATCCAGTGTGTGTCCGGGGGGACCCTGCCCTGGACTGTTGGATTGCCCTGAACCATTGCTGTCTGACATGAGTCTCTTCCAAAGGGGAAGAGAAGACTAGAGAGGGAACAGGGGACTGGCAACAGGACTTCAGCCCAGCCCAGGTGGGACAGGCACAGAGCGCTCTGCTGGAGTGCTGCCTGCAGGGAGCTTTGGGTTTCAGAACTAGCATCCACTGAGATGAATGGGTCAGGGCAGTCCACAGCTCTCAGAACTATTGTTTCAGACAGTCTGCTGACCCAGGGAGCATCACTGCAGCCCCAGCCCTTGGTTTGTGTGTTCAAGGTTTTCTTTGGCACAGGAAGGCTAAACGTTCTTTTATTGCTGAGATTCTGACCTTATCAAGTGATCCCAAAGCCTTAGGAACAGGCCTGGGTGTACAGGGAACTTCCTGCCCTGTTGCCCCATGCATTGGCATGCAGTGGTGTTGTCCCCTGAGTGTTCCTGCACGGTGCCACTTGTGGAAAGGGGAGGCGGGGGGTCCACTCTGGCTTGAATTGCTTGTGTTGTCCTGTGCCAGTTGACCCATATGACCTGTGTTGCAGGTTTTGTATGACGTGAGAGGTTTTCTGGAGAAGAATCGGGACACCTTCCGAGATGACATTTTAAACGTGCTGAAAGACAGTAGGTAAGCAGCCTTTGGTCCTCTGGAGGGGAAGATGGGGGCCAGGAGAGGGTAGATAGGAGATACTGGGACTGGGCTACAATCTTAGATAATGGTGGGCTCTTGGAGAAGGCTGCATGGTTTACACAAACCCTGGGGTCCCGTGCTCTCTACTCAAGGGTGTTGGCTTCAGGAGGGAGAGTTAGAGAGATCAGCATTATTACAAAGCAGCACATATGAGGAAATGAACGTTGTGTATCCACATCATCAGTGATGGGATGGATTGTGCTGTGCCAGGGAGGTAATGCGCTGGAATGTCAAAGGGAGCCTGTACCCCAGGAGATGCGGTACCTCACCATGGGTTCGTCAGCAAACTTGGACAGGGTCACCTCACCATTTTTAAGGATCATATTTGTGGGGGACCAGTGGGTAAAGTGATGCTAAGGGGCAATCAGCATGGGTTCATAGCAGACAGATCCTGCCTGACTAACCTGGTTTCGTTTTACTACTGGGTCACAAAACGTTGGATGAAGGAATAGAGGTACACAGGGAGCCAGCATGCAGTGCAGGAAGCACCTCTGGTGCAGAGGCCCTTCACAGCCAGCCGTGTACTTCCGAGCCCTTTGGTCATTAGGCTAACATGACTACTTTGATGTCAGGACCAGTCTGTTTTAACAGTCATTTTGCAGCCCTTGGGCTCAATGCTGTGGAGAAGCAAGGGGTCCAGTTCCAGCTCCTCAGGGAGGCATCTTGGTCTGGTTCAGGACCAGGGTGGTTTATGCACACAAGGAGATCATGCGCAGTGCTGGTCTCTTGGGGCTGGCCTCAAGATTACGGCAAAGGCATCACAGGCAGACCTGGAGCTTTCTCCACAGCTAGCCTTAATCGTGGCAATGGTCCCTCTTCATAGGCATCTGAGCAGGCAGGGGACCCTGGCTGCCACTCTCAGCTGAGTGACTGTGACTCAGTCGGGTACCTTCAAGCATGCGACTGCAAGCCAGGTTCTGTGCTGCAGCTTTAGCAATGCACTAAGACACTTTGGACTGGCCAGATGAGTCAGAATCACATGACATAGCCATAACAACAGGAAGATGTGTGTGGTGCTGGGGACCCCAACATGCCTGTGCAAGGCAAGGCTGATCCGTGGAAGATCACATGCCAGCAGCATGTGCAGCTATCTCCCAGGTGCTCTTACTTTTGCTGGCAGGGCTCCAGGAGTGGGGTCTGTGGAGGCAGTTGCCTGAAGTGTGACTGGAACATCCTGATATTTTGCCTGGAGGGAGAGGGGCACGCAGTGCTCTGGCTGGCATGTGGACAGTCATGGGGTAGCTCCTGCTTGCACAGAGATGCAGGAGGGAGGAGCACTGCCCAGCCCAGAATGGAGAGCACCATCTGGGTCCATTTTTACTTTGGGGTAGTGAGAGACAGGGTCGCAGTTCTGCTGCCTGTATGCTGGCTGCTCAGTGGGGCTTCAGGAGAGAAAGCTGCTGCCCCTCGGAGCCCTGCTGAACCCTGTGCTACAGTCACTGTGTTGCAAGGTGCTGATGTGGGACCTGGCCCCCAAGCAGCCGAGGCATCTGGCTCCAGAGGCAGGAATCTGAGCCTTGCTCCAGCTTGTGGCACAGGACGTCCTTAGTGGACCCAGGTGTACATGGCTGCCAGCTTGTTCAGGCTGGGGCATCAAGGGCAATGGGATGTGATGCAGCCCCATGGCTCCCATGTGGCCTCAACTACTCCAGCCTGAGGAGATGCCTGGGCTTGGGGTGGATGGTGGGGGAGGGGGTGGTGGTCACACTCCTTCTGTCTGTGTCACACGGGAGCTCTTGGTGGGGCTGTCTGGAGCTGAGCTCAGGGGCTGAGCAGTGTGGGAGCCACTCTTCCCTCCTGTCCCTTGCTGCTGAACTCAGTGGAGAGGGACAGGGAGGAGAAGAGCAGGAAGCAGCAATGCACCTCCTGAGCTGTGGAGCACATGAAAGCAGAAGCTCCAGGCAGGGCTCGTTCTGATTAGCTGGAGTCTCAAAGCTGCTGCTTCCTCGGAGCTCTGGCAAGAGCCTGTGCTGACTGGGCAGTGAGCTCGGGTGCCGCACCCCCTCCCTGTTCTGGATCCATTGCTGCCTGGGCTTGGCCAGCCCTGGCACAGAGAGTAGGGTCATAAATGAGAAGGCGAGCTCTGATCCTTCCTTAGCCAACCTGACCTCTCGGTTTTCTCTGGCCCATTCCATCCACACCAGGCTGGACTTCATCTACGATCTCTTTGAAAGAGTCTGCAGCCACAGCAGCGATGAAACACTGAAGATGGGGACCCAGAGGCGCAGGCCAACTGTCAGCTCCCAGTTCAGGGTAAGGGACTGCCTAGGACAACAAGAGACTTCAGGGAGAGAATGAGGTGCGTGGGGAGGAGAGATGGGGCTAAGCCAGGGCTGGAGGAGTGAGCTGGGAGAGCAAGTGATGCCTGCTATTAAAGATACATGAGCCCCATGTACCTGCCCTCATGGCATCCTCCAGGGATGATGTGATTCACTGGGAAAGGGGCAGAGATGATGGCTTCTACAGGACCATGGGGGTCTCATTGGTTAGCAGCATCTTGAGAGCTTCAAAGCTGTTTTGTTTTAGGTATGGAACCTTTGATGAATGTAGACTGGATTTTAAGCACTGGGGCTTCGGCCATGTAACAAGGAGCTGAAGGCTTCAAGAGGGGATGTGCAGCACAAAGGTCCGCAGGCAAATGCAGGCAGCTGAGTAAAGGCTAGCTGCAGGAGGCAGCCAGAGTGCAGTAATAACTGCCTGGAGGCTAGTTGTGGAGCAGTAAAGCAGAGCTCCAGGAGGAAGACAATGGCAGCTCAGCCAGGAAAACAGTGGCAGGCTGCTCACTGAGCAGAAAGAGTGCACCTGTGGCAGGCTAGGGAGCACTTGGCCCTGAGAGGTGCAGCTCAGGTGATATAAAACAGTGTTCCTGAGGCAGTGGGGTCACTGTGGCGCTGAACTCTGCAAGAAGAGGAGCTCCTGCCAGCTCAGGCTGTAGGAGCAGAAGCCACAGGCCTAGAAAGGGACCTGAGAGGGTGCCAGTGAGTGGGGCTCAGGCTCTTGCAGTGACATGGTGATATAGAAGGGGCTTTGAGTACGTTAGTTTGAAGAGGTTTGCATCCATTTCTGTTCCAGTTTGACCAGAAGACAGGGTTGTGGCTGTAGGGGTGGATGGAGGGTACCTGGAGAGGTAATCTGTAATAGCAGCTTGGCTGAGAGTCAGCAACCCAGGGGGTTGAGAGCTGGGGCAGAGGTGGGCTAAGGCTGAGAGGGCCAAAGCCGGAACACGGAGAGACAACTTGTAGTTGTGTTTTCCTGGGGGTGAAGTGGGAGAGACGCACATGCAAACCTGGCTATTTGACTCCCTTCGGAACAACACTGGAGTGGTTGCAGCACCTTGTTCCCACTCCATGAGCATGAGTTTGGGTCTCCTTCCATACTCATGCCAGGGCTACCACTGTTGCCAGTGAGCTGTCCATCGCACCCCCTCTTGAAAATCCCAGACCCACTTCCAGCTGGGCTGGGGGAAGCTGGCCACGATGCTTACCACGTTCCTCCTAGACGTTCCATCGGTATGGCAGGATAATTCATTTTCTTACGTTGACTTCATTACGTAAAGGAGGGGCTCTCAGGGGCCTTGCAGCCTGGGCCTGGAGCCCCTTCCTTCTGTCATGACTACTCTGCTTGGTGTTTTCAGGATTCTCTCCACTCCCTGATGGCCACGCTGAACACCTCCAACCCCTTCTTCATTCGCTGCATCAAACCCAACATGGCAAAAGTGAGTCTCGTTGGGGTGCTGGGTGGGTGTGGGTGACACCTCTCCATGGGCCATGGTCAGAGACTTGGGGTGAGGACACGTGCCTTTTGTCTCTGTCTTCTGATTCGGTTCAAGCTTGAGAAAAATGCATCCTGCCCTCTGAAATAACATAAAGCAGATCTGCGTTCAGGGTGTGAGGTCCATCCCTGCCTCTCCTTGTGCTGCCCTTGCCTGGCCTGAGCACAGCTCTCAGCCAAGGGACTGGGCTAGAGTGATCCCAGTTGATGCTGTAGGTGGTTGGGATTTGGGGCAGGTGTGGCGCAGTCCTCTGCAGGCTTTGTGGACAGGGTAGAGGGGAGAGGATGCTTCAGACTTTCACACCAAGAGGCATGTTTGCCTGGGAGTGCATTTCTCTCACACTCAGCAGCATGAAAGCATGGAGCACTCCTTCCCCCCCTGGGTGGGAACGCAGAGTGGGCTGAGCTATGACGCTACAGGTTCCCTCTGTCATGTCAGCTCAGGAGAGCAGGGCCTGCTGGGGCCATGTGGTAGCTGAAACCTCCCTTTCTTCAGGGCTGCAGCAACATCTCTTCTGGGCTCTCACCCTCTCCGCAGAGCTGTACCAGGGTGGCTGGTGTTTGTATGTCCTTAGGCCTCTAGGAAGTGCTGTTGCATGTGGGGAGCTGGCAGCCTTGCCCCAGCTCTGCTTCTGCCCTTCCAGCCTGGACCAGGGGCTGCTACAAAGGGGCTTGGGCAGGATGGGTCTGGGAGCAGGCCTCTCAGCAGCCCGTTTGCCTAGCACAGCTACAGCTAGGCTCTGAGCTGTGGCAGGTCTGCAGTGGGCTGTTTCTTTGGGCACACTCAGCTGCCTCCTGCTTCTGCCTCCATGCTACACAGTCTGGTGGAGGACGTCTCCTGTCAGCCAGATTCACTCATGTACTCAGGAGCTGGGAGAACTGAACATGCAGGGTTAATTTTCCAGGGAGCTGTGTGTGTACATTCCTGTGTCCCTGGCAGTGCTCAGATCAGTAGTCCCCATGCCAAGAGAAGGGCTAAACCTAGTGCTGCTTTTCCCTTGGTCTGTTTCTAACCTTGGTCATTGCGTAGGCACCAAACCTCTTTGATCCAGACATGGTCCTGAACCAGCTCCGGTACTCGGGGATGCTGGAAACAGTGAAGATTCGACGGGCAGGCTTCCCTGTGCGGCGGCCCTTCCAGGACTTCCTTGGCAGGTAACAGCAATGGTGGAGCTGTGCTTCCTGCTCTGCACTTTGGGATGTGCCTTCATTCTAGCCATTGTCCTAGGCGCTGACCCCATGTCCTGGGTGTTTCGCTTGTTGTGTCCATGTGACTGTGGCACATGGGCTGAGGTGGATCCATCCTCTCTGGAGACTCTGCTCTCAAAGGGGTAGTTGAGTGGGGTTGGGACCCCACTGCTCCTTTAACCTGAAAGTATCTTGCCCAGCTGCTCCTTTAACCTGAAAGTATCTTGCCACTGCTTGACTGCCCATAGTGGAGGTGTTCCTGACTTAGCCAATGTGTATAACATGGTTTCAAGTTCCCTGATAATCATACCGTTTCTGCCTGGCCTCAGTGGGACAGAGTTCGCAGATGACAGCGATAGGAAGAGTTTGAGAATTTGAATTCCTGTCAGAGAGTAAGACAGGAGTTTAGTTTGTTTAATTCTTCGAAGAGAAGATAGAGGTGATTTGATCAGAGTACAAATACCTATATCGGGAAGGGGTGAGATACTGGAGAGATCTTTACTCTAGCAGGTCAAAGCAAATTTTTACTGGTGAAGGTGATCCATCACTGGGACAGCAAAGGCTTGGTGAAGCAAAGGTGAATTTGGATTCTCTGAATCAGAACTTCCTTCACAAAGTTGCAGGCCAGAAGAGGAAGTTAGACCTAGTCTGACTTTTTGTATGGCATTAAATTTTACTTGTGTACTGAGCCAGTCACTTATCTGAATAAAGCATGTCCTTCAGAAAGTGAACCAGTTTTAGCCAGAAGGCTGCACAAGATGGAGACTCCACCACTTCCCATGGCAGTTAGTTCCAATGGTTGGGCACTCTCATTGTTAACAAATTGTGCCTTATTTTTATTTGAATGTGTCTGGCTTCAGTTTGCAGCCATTCGCTCCTGTTTCACCTTCTCTGCTAGTTTTAATGGCCTGTTTGGCATTCTCTCCTTGCTAAGATATGTGCTGTAGTCAAGGCACCTCTCATTTTCTTTTTGATCAGCTAAACATAGCAGGCTCTATAAGCCTTTTACTGTAAGGTATTTTATCCAGTCCTCAAATCACTTTTGTAACTTTTTTCTGCACCCATTGTACTTTTTCAACATCTTCCTAATAAAGGAGACACAAGGACCACGCACAGTATTCTAGCACCAGTCTCTCCAGTGCCGTAGCAGTGGTCTGGGAGACCATCCTGAGTTGCTTGTTCACTCTTACCCTAAATACAGCTCAGAGGCACTTTCCAAGACATGGGTCCCATTCTGTAGGCACAGCTGCTTTGCTTATTCCTGTGTGTGGCTTCAGGATGCAGTTCCAAAAGTTTCTAGATGCATACCTGGGATGCAATTCTGAAAGAAACTAGTTTAAAAAGTCACTGGCTGAGCACAAGAATTACTGAGAGAAGTGTTATGCAAGGGGTCAGATTGGATAATTGTGTGTTGCTTTCTGATCTTAAAATCAATGAAGGAAATGCCATGTACTTTTCAAAGGAAGATAAAACTGTAGCATCTTCCCTCCATCCTTCCCCCCTCCTCTTTAGGCACTACAGGTTGAAGCAGAAGTTTGTCCTAAGTGATAGGCAAGTAGTTATTTTATAGCCTGCTGTTCATAACTTAGAAACCTGTTCAAGGCACTTTCAGAGGGGACATGCCCCATGCAGTGCCTGCTCTGAGTTCATATGCAGACTCCAAGGAAAGCAGGTGTATGAAAGCAAACCTGTGAGCTTCCCATCTCCTCAGCTGGCTATGGTGGAGGAGTCTGAGCATGCAGCCTCTGCCCAGCAAGTGCTCTCCCCAGTGCATCTCCTATCAAGAAATGTCATTCTTTGTAGCATCACTAGATGAGGACACTTCTTGTTGTCAGAGCAGAGAACTTCTGAGACCAGAGTCCTGTGTTCCAGTAATTGTTCTGTTATTAACTCAGTGTGTGATCTTGAACAGATTATTTCTTCTCTTTTTCCTTTGGTAATAACAAGCATGATTCACCTGCTTCATGGGACACATGTGAACAAAGAGGTCTGAACAATGACACTTTACCATGTTGGAAATTGTATCTTACAGGTTATTATTGGAATAGGGAGTCACTCTCCCAAGGTTGACACTCAGATGGACGCTCACCACCTGGGTGATGGTTGTGATGAAGGGCAGTTCCTAGATGGGAAGTTAGTGTTAGTGGACAAGAAGGTCTGAAGCACATTAGTGATGCGGTCATAATCTTATGTATTCCCTGACAGGATGTCTTGTCTTTTCTCAGGTACAAGATGCTCGTAAAGAATATGTGCACCCTAAACCACAGCAAGGCCATGTGTGCAGACTTCCTGCAGACCTACGACAACACCAGGAACGAGTGGCAGCTGGGCAAAACCAAGGTACCACTGATGTAAAGAAGGGTCCGTGGGGGAAGGAAGAGTTGCTGATGCAAGAGAATGTTGTTGGGAGTTTTATACTGAGGAGCCCTCTGGTAAACCAGCCATGGAGGTGAAGTGATGACACAGCTTATCTTTCCCTTGGACATTTGCCCTGTCCTGTGATTCATGAGCCACAGGTTGCCCCTGAGATCTTGAGCCCTGCTCAGAACCACAACAAAATGTTGCTTTCCACAGTTGCATGTTTCTTTAGGTTTCCAGGAAAGGTGAAGTGTGACATTGCCCAGGGTGTATTTCCTGCCTGGTACTGTTTTCCTTGAGCCAGTGAAGGTTGGAGATCGTTGCACCAGTCCATGGTACTGACCTGCACCATAATGAGTCTCATTTAACCCATGTCCGCTGACCAGAGCAGGACAAATTACTGCTTGTCCAGTGCAGTTTTAAATGGCTCAAGGCAAGGGAGCCTAGGGATTGTTGGGTAAGTCCCTCTTGTGTCCCCTGTAACTAACTCCTGCCCAGTGTGATCACTCCACTGTATGTGGAGCTAGCTTAAGGGCAGTGAGGTGCTGCTTTGCTTGATATATGGGGTGTCTGGGGGCAGCTGGATCCTCAGGCCAAAGCCTGCTTCCTGCTGACTAGGAGAAGAGCATGGCTGAGTGGTCCTTGTCCAGGGACAGCACCTACAGGCCCAGCAGTGGCACCAGAGCCATGTCTCTTCCATGGTGTTGTCTGAAGCTAACGTGGAATAGTTGAAGGTGTGGGTAGTGTCTGAGTGGGGTTGCAGGTCCTCATTCAGTTTGTCCAGGAGGTCTGAGCCTCTCTGGTAACTAGTTAGCATGATTTGTGGCTTTGAACTATGGTTTCTTAAGCAGTGGCTGGACTTAGTGTGCTGTAGGGAGGGAAATCTTTTGTGCCCAGTTCAAAGAAAGTGGTGAAACTTGTTCACTGAGGATTCCAGGTGCATTGGGCTGCCTTTGTATAACCTAGACAGGTACAGACCACTTTTTCAGTCTGCTTTCCTTGGATTTCTTGTTATAGGAATGTGCCAACTTCAGAGAAGGTCAGTATCGCTACTGAGCCCATGTTCTGCCGGCAAGGTCATCCTGGATAGAGGGTTCTAGTCCCTCGTTCTGGCCAGTTCCTCTGAACCAAGTAATTTTTCTTGCTCTGATCTGGATGTGGCCTTGCAGAGAGGGTGACTGAAGCCAGTAACAATATGCCCAGATTTACTCCCTAGAAGGAGATGGGAGAGTACTAAGTTTCAGGAAGGGCAGCAGTGAAATAGTGCAGAAGAATCCACTACCGCACTGTTGGGGTGTGGCACAGATGAAGTTAATAAGTGGGCAGTGATTTTCATACACACAGCACAGCCAGGCTGCTAACCTTTGAGCCAACAGAAGACAATACCACTTTTCCTCTCTCTTCTTTCCAGTCCGGCAGGACTGTCCCTCTCTTTTGGCATGGGGTGAAGCTGTCTGACTGGGTGGCATGCTCCTCTTTTGCCGACAAGGTTCTGGTTTCAGTGCATCCCTTTCCAGAGGAAGGGGCTAGGTTGCAAGCGATAGTTGGAGGAGAAAAGGGAATGCTGGGGCTACAGGGGGAGAGAAACCAAGTCTGTTAATGAAGAAAGAGGGGAGTTATTTAGCTGTGGTAGAATGTTCTTAATCTCTAAACCGAAAAACTAAGATTTACGCTGGTGATCCTGAGCCAGGGTACTACAGCACCATGGGGCACCTTGAGATCCACTCAGGGGTGCTGCAAAATGCTATGCAATGCTAGCACTATTCTATGTGCACACATGGTTCACAAGATAAACCCAATGATTTCAGATAGGAATCCATAATGTTAAAAGCATTCCAACCTGCTGTTGTCTTTCTGAGTTCTCGGCAACAAAAGAATTGCTCTGTTCCTCTGTAGTCAAAGATTAAGTGAAAACTCTAAGAGGTGACATTTTCCAAGGGGTGTTTTGAGTCTACCAAGGAGTGCCTTAAATCTAAAAAGGTTGAGAAACACTGGTTTGCACAGGCCTGCATCTAGAGGCCTAAAATTAGGCTCCTAAATGCAAGTTCTCTCATGATCAGGAGCCTAATGAAAGATCCCCGTTGTGAATTTTTTTTATAGCCTTTAAACAGGAACAAATAGGAAAATGCATGGAAAACTTTGGTGTTTAGAATCAGCGAGCCCTAAGATAAAGGCACGATGAAAATATTGCAGACTCAGAACACCCTCCTGGGTTGGGAACAATCTGTTTCAGTACCAATCTCAAGCACTAAAAAGGAAAGATGGAGCTACGGTGATAATTACTCCCCTTTAAAACATCTTGGAACCTCTGGTATGAGCTATGGACAGCACCAAAGGGTGGGCAGTTGTAAAGAACAAATCTCGCCAGACAAAGTTGTTTGCTTTTGCAAACAAATCCCAAAATAGATAGAGGAACAAGTGCAGCAGATGAGATGTATTTGGGTTTTTCGCAAAGCTGAGCACCATCTCATGAAATCCTATTTGAATGATATGTCTTACATACAGATGATTGGCAAAGGGCCTGTGTACACAGCACTGGTAAACAGCAAGCTATTGAGCTGGGTAGGAAATGCGTTACAGCTCTAGATGGGGATCATTGTTGGGCCTGGACTAATCTGACATCTCTCTGAATGGTGTCCAGGGGTTTGAACACCACGGAGTGGGCGAGATGGTTTGGGATAATAGAGATAAGAATGGTGACTTGACTTAAAGGGAAACTGCTCCTTCATAGTGCTTAGGGTCAGAAGGGACCTAAACAGATCATCAGGTCTGAACCCCTGCCCTGGGCAGGAATGGGTGCCAGGGTCATATCACCCCAGCCAAATATCTGTCCAGCCTCCTATTGAAGAC